GTAAGTGGGCCTACCCCACTTTCTTTGGACACCATCAAGACGGAGCTTGATCCCAGAATCGGAAGCAGAAGCTTTTTCATAGGCTCCTTCTCCATGATGATAGGAAGAAGGTTGGGAAATGGGAACAATAATGTTGGTTGAGGAGGAGGAAGAAGATGAGGATAGTGAAATTGGAACAGCAGCCATTGATGAGGGTTTAGGGAGCTCGTAAGCTTCGAATCTCAGAGAATGGGGATAAGTCCCATTTTGGTGGTCTTGATTCTTGGAGTAAGAGACAGCGGCGTTCAACGCTCCATGGCGTTCAGCCTCTGGGATATAAGGCCGGGCGCCCTTTTCCAAGGACTCTTGAACATAGCCATTGAGGAAGGAAAGGCTCTGATCAACCTGCACAAGAATTACATGAAGTGTTGTGAATTAGTACAATTTTAACCTTAATATTTTTTATGTACCTATCTAAAGTAAGTGCAAATATGGCTTTTCTACAAACTTTATTTCCATCCTCTTCATCTTCTCTTCCATTTCTCTTTTTTTTCTCCCAAAAAGAATTCCTTTGTTTTCTACTTACTCCCTCTGTCCCATATCTTTATTCTCATTTTGACTTAACCTGCTTTTTAATGTAAAATGAAAAATAAAATTGACTTTCCATTTTTTGTATTTAGGGGTGTACTAAATTGAAGAGAAGTAAAAAAAAGGGAATAGTACAAAAGTAAGGTAGTCTATTAGTTGTAAAAAGGATGAATAGTCTTTCCATTTATGCTATGTTTGGTTCGTGGAATTTGGAAGGAAAGGAAAAGAAAGAGGAGTCTCTCCTTTTTCCTCACCAAAATGGAAGGAAAATTGTTTTCTCTTCTTTGTCTATTTTCTCTTCGCATTTCTTTTCCTTCCACTTTTCTTTTCTTCTCTTACCAAACAAGAAAACTCATTTTCCCTGTCATTTTCTTTTTCCTTTCAAATTCCTTGAACCAAACATAGTGTTAAGGAAATGTGAAGAAAGATATAGGACGGTCCAAAAAGGAGTACGAAAAGAAAGATATAGGACAGAGGTAGTATTGCATTTTGTCTTCCACCTCTTCCTATAATACTTCTTTCTTTCCAACTAAAACTCTCGTTGTCCAAGCCAAGCACCAAAGTAACAAAGATAATAAAAGAAATCAAATCAATCACATTACCTCAACATCTTCACAGCTTGCATCCATTGGCATTATATTTTGAAGAGCAGGAGGATCTAAGCTAAGGACAGCTTGAAGTTCATATGCACGTTGCTGTAAATCTGTGGAGTGGGACGCTAGTAATTCTTCGACAAATGATTGACACTGTAGAAAGGAAATGCTTTTTGGTTGGTATTCGGAACCCATATTCTTTATCTATGGAATATAATAACAGAACCGCCACATAGCGATGTGTATCTTGCAACAATGGTTACATACTTACAATAGCATTAAAAGGTGGGAAATTTAATTTAATGTGTGATAATAAAAGTAATTGACAAAGATTTAACTTCAGTTAAATATTGGACTAACTCAAAATGGCACATTGAACTTCCTTTGTTTCTTACTTCCAAATTCCAATGAAGTCTTGGGCAGAAAAAGCAACAATGAATCAATGGTATAACGGAAACAGTCTCTATGTATTTTACATGTGTAACACTGCATACATCTTGAACTCCCAGACCCCAACAAAATTGGTATAATACTGGGTTCTTGTGATAATAAAAGTCGCCAATGAAATCTAGACACATCACCATCAATAAGAACGGGTTCATCTTAACCATAATTACTTCAGAGTTCTAGTTATTCAAGAATCAAAAGGCATCTTAAACACATTTTTTGCTCCAACTTGGTGTAAAATCCAAAGGTCACAAGAGAAAAACACCTTACCTCAGGCAACATATCAATTTTTCTTCCTGCTGCTAGCTCAAATGAATATATTTTTGTAAGTGCAGATATTGCATAGGCCTGAAAGTAAGCAGAAAATTATATATAACCTCAATATATGAACATAGTACGCATACATTATATAATCTTATAACAGAAATATTCCCCCCACGGCCCACCCCCACCCCCCCACCCCCGAAGCTCCCTCACTCCACAAAACATAAGTGGAGTGATTGTGCTTACAATAATAGAATCAAGAACTTGAGAGGTAAAAATGACTCGAGTTCAATGTAAGGAAAGAGATCGACAAACTTACGAAGTTAAAAGGTAGAGATGACTTGAGCTCAATGTAAAATTAAGGTCAAATTGTCAAAATGTAATCTTCATTTGCTCGAAACCATCACTCGAAGTGAATTTTTGTAATCTCAGTTACCTAAAATAACTAACTTTAAATCATCTCAAAATCCAAGATTTTGAGTCACAATTTGTGATGAGATCCAAAAGGGCCCTAAATGTCTTGTGCTTCATACTTTCTATGAAATATATGCAGCAAGTCAGCAACACATCAATGGTTGAATGGAAACACCTTTTCTAATTTTGTTTTACTGATCTAAAGTTGCATAAATGTTCTTGACGCCCACACCCTGACAATGTTGGGTTTATACTGGGTTTGTTGTAAACTTGTGCAGTTACTTATTACTATGGGAAGGCCAAACATTAATTCCTAGTAGAGGAAAGAATAGCATACCCTGACAGTGTCATCAGTTGAATGTGCCTCTGCAACATCACAAATTTTCCCAGTTGCATAGGCAGCAGAGTACTTCCCATCAGCAGTTCCATATTCTCCCAAAACCCAACAAATGACCTGCAAATGCACAATAATCAAAAAGTACAGTATTTATTAAACTGAATTGATTCTATTTATTTTTTGTCCATTAGCGATGGAGCATTGGAGCTAAAGAGACAATATTGACAATGTTTTTAGCTTCATGAAAATAATGGCCTAAACAATATGGCGCCTTAAACTAGACAGGCTTCTTACTTTTATGAAGTTGTGTGTAGTAAATGCAATAATGCATCAAGAGTCAAATGAAAACAGGATCTCTTCTTTTCATGGGGTGTAAGGCACTAAGGCTACATGCATCTTAACAGCCCCACCCACCCACTCCACCCCCCGCCCTGACTTAACAGAGTAGCAATTATCTAGATGTCATGTAGCAGTTTAAGAACGAGGTGGAGGGTACAATTTACTAACTCCATATCTTCATCATGGATGAAAGTTCTACTCCGGGGTATAAAAATGCTTTAATTTCAAAGAACCTACTTGGAGAAACACAGAGGGAAGTTTTGGCTCTCCCATGATGTGCAAATATGATTCAACCTGCATTCAATTTTCAAAAAAAAAATGTCTTTGTGAGTGGTTAAATAGAAAATAATGTAGCAAGCTCTTTGAGATGCAAGTGATTCGTGGCTCATAGGATTTTTTGGAAATGGAAAAAAGAAGACCTTACAGTTTATCTAATGATGTCCATAGAAGCATATGGAACTACAAACATTATGAAGTACATGCCTTTGATGCTAGAATTCATATGAGAATATGCGATACCATACAATAAACATCATAATAATAATAATAATAATAATAACAATAACAATAATAATAATAATAATAGTAATAGTAATAATAATAATAATAATAATAATGAATAGTAATACTAATAATAATTTGTGCGCTCTAATACTGGAGAACCAGTGGCCAATGTCAAATACACAATGCAGTAACCAGTCATATCACACTACGTTGGAGTTGGTATAAATTAATATGATCTCATAAATGCATATACACCCACACATGCACGCAAAAGCGCCAAAATGTGTCATTGAATGTTTGAATGTAGATACTTTTTTTCTAAAAATGAAAAGTATGCAAAAAAAAGATAGATAGTCCAAAGATATAGCAAGCACGTACAGCAGAAGATCTCAGCTGACTGTCAGCACTATTATCATCTTCTCCAAACCCTTCTGCTATCAGTCTCATCAAGTTATGTGCAACCTTTATGTTCACTAAATCCCCCGCATGCTCAAATACTTTGTTCATTGTCTGTAAAAATAAAAGTTAAAGCAGCAGATAGTCAGAACTCGAGCATTTCAGCATCGCTAATAACAGAGCAGAGGTAAGAACTGGCACTATTGAATAACCTGGACAAACCATTGATTGCTTGGGGCAAATTGTTCTGCAAGTTCAATACATCTAGATGCTATTTCAGTTTTGTAATGGGTATCATTCAGGCTTATCATGTAAGCAATCATGCTGTCCACAATAACTTCCACGTTTGACGACTTTGTCATTTTATAAAGAAGCTCAAAAGTCTTTCGCTTTAGGGTGTCATCTGGGTCCTGCATCATGCAGCACATCGAACATCAAATTAGGTGTAACTGAGCAAATTATAATATATATTAATGAAGTTATCTTCCCCAGAAGTGATAAACTGGTAACTAACAAGGACTTGATCAACATTCACAGTATCAAGAAGTCAAATGTATGGAATTGGTATATCAGTCAATTCGGAGTTGATTATAACCATCTATCGAGAAAACAAGGAGAATTATTCTCTGCTTCAGAATTCAGGAAATGGGTTAAGAGTTTTTCCCAGATGTATCACAAGGAAAACAAAATCTTACAACTTTCATGGTGAATATATCTTTGAAGAATATGGGTGACAATAAATGATACCATGGGAAAACATTCCAAAGTACCGAGAGAAGGATGTAATAAGTGCAAAAAGTGTCCAAATATTCTTGTAAAAATGTTCACTGAAACTCCTCAAAGGTGTATTGTTATGTCCAATATAAAAGAGAGAGCACAAAGTCAGCGGTGAACTCTGTAAATCCCTCCATATATTTTAAGAGCTTATGTTTAACCCAGCTCAAGCTTCTTGTGATGGAGACATATTTAGAAAGGGTGGACTTCAAAGTTTATTTATATGTTTCCAAACTTACACTATTTGAATAAAGATGTGCCAAAAAAGATTGAGCAAATAAGCAATTAAATTAAAACATACTTCGATATTAGCTAATTTTTTTCCACACTAAGAAGCGAGATTCGAGAGAAAAAATTCAAATGAGCATCCTCATAGTACCAGCAACTGAAACATCATACTCTGAGTGCAATTGGGAAAGAACAATCTTCACCTCTAGGCAATCTATTACAGCTAGCTGGTGTTGTTCCGCAATTTCTGGGCTAATCTTTATCAATCTTCCAAGTGCATCAATGCCTAAATACTTGAGATTATGGCTATCGATCTGTCCACCATGTAAACCATAAAAAGTCTTTAGTTTTCTACTACTACGGGTATTTAATAAAAACAGAAATATCAAGACAACATGGGGAAAACACATAGGACAACGAACCTTGAAAAACTTGGCAATTGCATCTGCTGCAGATTTTAGTAGCTTGGGATTTGGATGGATGGAGGAAACACAGCAAATGCATTCATATAGAATAGCATTTCCTATATTAGTTGTTGAATCACACTTTCTCATTATTTCACCAACAATGGTATACATGTGTTCACTTGTTTTTTTGTCACCAGATCCAAGTAGAGCCAAAATTTTCAGCAATTTTACCTGCAAAATATATAGTGCTGATATTGTTATGGAAAGAAAAATCTTAATCTGTAAAACACACATGCTGATAAGAAAATAAGAAGCTGAATAACAATGCATTATAGTACTGAAAATCAGAGGAATTAAACTCTATCTATGCACACCTGTATGAATGGAGCAGGTGTTTGATGATAATCATAGCTCTTAGGCAATCTCCTTTCAGCTACTTGCTTGAGAATGCTCACAAAGCTCACCACTAAATCTTTATAGGAATCAACATCGATTGTAATAAGATCGAAAAGAGGACAGAGAGCAGCACCCATGACACCAGGATCACTATCGCATAGCTTCTGAAGTGATGTTAAAATTTAAGAATATCATAAGCTCGAGTGAAAATGAGATATGCTACCTAAGATGCACATAAAGAGCCTTTTTCATCCATGCCACACTGTTATTATAGTTTTCATAACTTTGTAAATTCTGATACCAGCTCAATGCTAATATTCTTTTTCCACCAAGTATCGACTGAAAAATATATAAAGATGGCGGATAAATATCACATGGAGAGAACAATGCACTTCAGTGGCAATTCCTCATCCACTGGTGTAGTGTTCATTAGCAGTATACCAATAGCATGTTGTTCCTAGTTCAATTTGATGCTAAAGGGACCATTATTCCTACAATCTATATGGTACCATGATAAATACTACAACAGAAATAAATGGAAGTGCATCTTTGGCCTTGAAAACTTTCTTATCACTAGTAATTTGTTATTCTTCAATCAAAGGGTGCACCTTTCTGAAATTGGAGACAAGGTGAAGAACAGAAGATGGAGACTTCTGGTAAAACCTGTGGAGTGCCATGACAGCCTTCTTCCTAACAGCCTCCTTGGCGTGCCCCAACAGGTCCGCCACCTGAGGCAACACGGCCGGAATTGTCTCTTCGTTAATCAACCTACAAACGGCATTCAGAGCTGCACAGACGACCAAGTAGTTATCAGACTTCAAGTCCTTCTGAATCGTGTTCACAATCAAGATGATCAAATCATGGTCCTCGTTCAGAAACAATGTCACCGCAAGATATCCAGTTCTCTTCAGCTGCAGATTGTCATCATGTGTCATCTTCACGGCATGAATGTACCCAAAGGACGCATCATGGCCGAGCATCTCAATGTACACGAGCCGCATTATGAACTCCTTCATCTTCCTCTTGGGGATATCCGGCTCCACTATGCGGCGCTTGAGGGTTTCGATCTCGTTCACCACGATCCGGTCCTCTTCCGCCTTGGATCGGGCCTCGCCGATCGACTTTATAAGGTCAAGGAATTCCTTCGACTGACCGAACCCGCCTTGCGATCCCATTGCGAGCTCCCGCCCAATGGTCTTCAGCTGCTCCATCTTCTTCTCCGGTACCGAACCAAAGTTCGTAACTTTGATCGGATTTTCCGCCCAAACCCGATTCCCAGTTCCTTAATTCAAACCCAGACTCGAATATTAGAATTGGGGTCCGAAGTTCAGAAGGATTCCAGGGTTTACGGCTTCAATCTTGGAGCTCGGGCAATCCAATCTGAGTTAAGCTAGGTCTAGTGTCGACAAATCGCCGATGGGTTGGTTGATGCCGAACTTGCGTACATTCACCACTGTGGAAGTATCATCGAAGGATAAGCGCAGAGAAAAAAGAAACACGGAAGATGACGACGGAGGAGACGACGATCGATGAAAAGCACGTGGTTCTGGCTGGTGGAAATTCAGGTTACTTGAACAGAGTTCATGAATCAAAGGCTTGTTTGATGGTTTGCTAATATCTTTTAGGATTTAACCTTAGCATTTTAAAAAACATACTCTGTATTTAATTGTAGTGTTAGTATTTTTGAAATTAATTTATAATTTTAATATTTTATTCAAAATATTAATATTAATTATGTAATGCTATAAAATATATCATTCCCATATAAATCCATGGTACATTAGCTTCATCAAATTTTAGAAGAGTTAAATCTAAATTATTTCGTCTTTCATATTTTTACATTGTCTGTACACTTACGTACAAAGGGATTTATCACATACGAATTGAATGCTCCTCATTTAGTGAGCGTTTGATTAATTCCGTCGACCTCTCACTTACTCGGTATTAGTTTCTGACTTGCTTTCTCATTTAATCTATCTCTTGTTCACAGTAGATCTAAGCTTCCATACTAATGCTGGATATGAAATATCCATAATTGATTCGGCCGAAGAGCTAATCGAGGAAGCTAGATGTGCGTTACAGAAAAAATTCATCTCATCTCCACTGTAGTTGGAACTCAAAGCCTCTCGAAATAAATACTTAATTAGGTGTTGGAGATTGGTGACCAGATGAGTCACTCCAACTTGTCTTGTTTGCCATGGTAGACATAAGTGAGGTTTGTGTTATTGTGTCTTCACTCGATAATTTATATTGTATAATCGATTGTATCATAATATATTATGTGCATTATTAGAGTTTTGTGATGATTATCGAAGCTTCGATTGGATCGAAGAGGAAGCTTCGCAAGTTATACAAAGGGATTCATATGAGGAAGTGGGTGTTGTAATCAGGAGTCCTAACAACCAACATAATTTAATTGTGTACGAATTTTTATCAAAACTAAATGACCATAAAAATTATTTATTAGGGATCTCATATATTAAAACATAACTCATATTTACGTTATGAAATTATATTGATATCTTTATTGAATAATAGTAATATAAACATTAATCTTCATATCTCCATAATGTTTAACTTTGTTTAATAATATGCATATTCTTATAAATATAAAAATTGTCAAACATGCACCTAAGTTTCTATGAATTTAATATTAAACATATTTTCATGAATTCAATACACATATATAATAGTATCCATATACGAGTATAATAAGTTCCATAAATAATAAAGCGGTCAAACGTACACATAAAAAAATTCTCTTAACTTAACATTTTAAATTTTAAATTAAGATTTTAAAACATTTACTGTGTAACGCACGGGTGCAATTTTTATGTATGGTAAATATATTCCTACATATTTTATGACAATTATAATAATTAATAATAATAATTTATCGTGTTTATGTTCGTAAATATAGAAAAATTTTGTGTATGGTAAATATATTTATACATATTATATGTCAATTATAATTAATAATAATAATTGGTCTTGTTTATGTCCCTAAACATAGTAAAATTTTATGCATGGTAAATTTGATGTTCAATAAATTTTCCATATACAATAAGATTGATAATAATAATGATATTATTATTTTTATTAATATTCATCTTATATTTTCGTCCCATTATTTTTTTTATATTTATATCAATTTCAAGTTCTTTGTTAAAACTACTTTTTAATTTTTTTAAATCAAAATTGAATTTCTTGCGTTTAAAAAAAATTAAATGAAATAAAAAAGAATTAATGTATACTTCATTTGTCTCAAATTAAACTTTTTATTTTGTCCAAAAATTTCATTTTTATCTCTAAAGACAAAAATACAAAGTAAATGTTTTTTAGACCAATGCCCAACAAATTTCATTCATGAATTCAGTTTCTTTTTTTTTTCTATAAAAGTATTTTTTGTATCATTCTCCTCTTTTCGTTTCCCTTTTCTTTTTTTGGTTTTATTTCTATTTCATATCTTCTACGGAGTATTCATTTGGTGTTTTGCATTGAAACACATATCCCATTCTCTGTTTGTTTTCTGTTTCCTTTTTTTATTCTCTTTTGTTTCATACTGCGTATACGTTTTTAAAATTTATTTAAAAACTATTTTAATAACGTTTCTTTTATTTTAATCAAAATTAAAATAAAAAAGAAGAAAATAAAATGAAAATATATGAAAAATTCTTGTATAGAAAAGGGAAAGTGAAATCAAAAGAAATAGACCTTATTTTATATTTTTTGTCTTACAGATACAAAAAAAATAAAAATATTGTTAGATAAAAAATAAAAATATTTAATCTGAGACAAATGATATACTCTTTATTCACTCCAAGTTCTATAATACCCCACACAAGACATCTGACTTTTTGTTCACAACGCAGAGGAGGAGGAATAAAAGGTATGGATCGACAAACGAGCGCAATGAAAACTCCATCCAGAGCATGGGGAGTGGGGAAGGCAATGGCGTCCTGGGTAGTAGATCGGGTGAAGAGCATTGAAGCCGATGGCAAGTCGCCGGTTTGGGTCGAAACGCTAGGTCCGATGACAGAAGAAGCTCTGAAGAGTCGGTAATAGGCGCGTGAAGAAGAAGATGTAGGCGTTTTGCAGAATGAACATTTATTTATTTCAAAATAAACATGATGTTTTTTTTCAAATGAGTGTTGTTAGAATATAAATAACTCTTCTTAGGCCACAACAATAAGCTTGAGCTTTTGGTTGAGTTGGTTCCTTGTCATGGTATCAGAGCAGGTTTTGGTCCACCTCGTTTGTCAAGGTGTCCGTCTAGACGTTCATTCCTAGCGGCCTATTTGTGTTTAGCCCAGTTGTCCGTATGGAGTATGTACCCAACGGCCTGTGGCCCGTTTAACACGATTGCTCGTCTGGAAGTCCATACCCAGCGGCTCGTGGTCCTTTAGGTGTTGGCGCTCAAAAAAAATATTCAAGGGAATGAGAGTTTATTTGCAAGTAGTCAACCGGTTAGATTCAAAATGGTCCGGTTGTCCACTTGAGGGGGAGTGTTAAAGAGCATCCCACATCGGAAAGTGTGGGGAAATTAATCGGTACATAAGTTCTTGAGTTGAACTAACTAATCGATTGGATTCAATCTTTTAATGTGGTTCAACCCAATTATTTTATTACCCAATCCAATTGTCCATACTCATCCTAAATTCTATCAAGTGTTTGAAGAATGTACATCTGAAATAAAGAATAGGTGAAATGAACAATCAATTACTCTTAACTAGTAATTAAGTATAATTATAATGAACAAATGTATAAAAACGATCATTTTATTCAAAATGAGACCCAATGTGTAACTCTGGAAGCAATTGAGCTACCTGCCGCCATTCTCATCTTGTTCCGAGAGCTTGAAGCACATGATTTGCAGTGCAGTATGCAATGGCTTGGACGGTGAGCATAGGATTGACCCCGAGCGCAGTCGGGAAGACGCTGGAATCGGCCACGAAAAGCCCCTCCGCCTCCCAACTCTCCCCCGTCGGATCCACCGCCGAACTCCCCGGATCCACCCCCATCCGGCAGCTCCCCATCTGATGCGCCGAACCTATCAGCGTCGATAGATCTCCCAGATCCCTAGAGCTCTCCGCCGCCACAAACGCCTCAAACTCCTCTCTCCCTCCGCCGCCGCGGTTCACCTTCAGTGTCTTTCCCTCCCGATGGCAGGTTCCGATCTCTTCGGCTCCGGCGGCCGCCAGAATCCTCAGCAGCCTATCGAGCCCATTTCTGAGGGTTTCTTTCTCCGTTTCTTCGATCTTGTAGGTTATGGAGGAGGGAGAGTCGACTTTCCCGGAGGTCGTCCGGTCTCTGGCCAGGGCGAATAGAACCGCCGTTCGTGAAAACCTCCGCATCCGTGTCTTGATGTCGGCGCCGGAGGTCCATGGCATGACGGCGGAGAAAATCCCGGGATGCAGGGAAGGTGTTTGTATTATTGCCCCATAGCCAGATTCTTCAAAATTGGCCACCACTTTTGACATTGCAGTCATTATTCCTCCTTGGTACCTAATGAAGTTGGTTCAATATGTAAGTGACTTTTACCCAAACATTGTATAGTCAATTTTTTTTTTCCGAACCCTTTTTTCTACTTATTCCCATTGATTTGTCCTCTTCATTAAACGCATCACAAGCCATTGTTCCGATTTGGTGTGCTCCGTTCGTAAATTAATTATTCATATCCCGCCCAACCGCCGGTAAACCCCATGCCCAGTCCCGACCCCAACCCATCCCCCACCCATGTCAATTGTACCTCGCAAGTTTAGTTGACTTTAAAGTAAATAAATGTGTGTCAAAAGTCAGCTAAACTTGCGGAGTGTAACTGACATGAATGAGGAGATAGGTTGGGGTCGGGATTGGGTGGGGGGTTTCCAAGGGGGTTAGGAGGTAAGAATCATTAATCTTACGAACGGAACATTGAAGAATGGTAGTGGCTACTCAAAATGAGTGGCCATTGAACCTAGCCGTCATTTCAATGCCATTTGAAGAGAAAATTTAGGTCAAACAATACACACTTTAAAATTTACCTCGAAGTTATGTGAAGTCAAAATGAGATATAAGTTATGAGATAGAGTGTGCTCATTTCAAAACAACATTTTAATTAACATTAGCATTTAGGATTAGGTTGTTGCTTGATGTTAAAAGAAAGGAAAGAATAAAGTTGTTCATTTACTATAAATAGAGTGGATTTAGCCTAATGTGAACTTATCATCACCCCTCGGATTATTTTTTTTAATGGTTCAGATTAATTTTGAAAACATTAAAGTTATGGGCCTGTTTGGTTACAATTCCAGCAATTTGAAAAGATTATCTAGTTGCACTATTTAGCTTTAACATTTTAAAAGCTAATCTGCACGACTGCATCAGTAAAAAACAATCCAAAACTCTAATACTACTTGAAAGCATTAATTATTCTCAAACAAGCCTTAATATTGTCTTAGATAGTTTTTTTCAAAACACTAAAACTAAATGCTAAAGCTATTGTAAAAAAACAAACACAAAATAGAGTAAGAAAAGAGTGGTATATATACATGCATACCCTTTCTTTTGTGCTTCTGGCCATGTTTCAGGAGAAGAAGAAGAAGAAGGGGGCGTGTCTGGAAAGTATCCCCAAGCAAAAACCACAGGATGGAGATGCAAGTTTCTGCCAATGTTTCTGTTCTTCAGGCCACTGTTCTTTAGCAGCGACGGAGTGCATATGGCACCACCGGCAACCACCGTCACCTTTGACTTCACCATCCAAATTTCTCTCACCCCATTCCTCTTCCTGAACGCGAAAACCACCCCATCCGCTCTTCTCTTCTTCTTCTTCTTCCCTTTGTTCTTGTGGTGGGTCACCCTTAGGGCTTCGCATCCCGGAAGTATCACCCCGTTGCCGGAATCCACCATGTCCACCAGCCACGTCTCCGCCGTCCCTTTTGTCAAGGATATCCATTAGTCATTTAGAATTTTTCCCTTTTCTTTTGTCTTAGATATCAACTTTTGACATTGGACACTAGTGTCATATCATAACATCTGTCCATTCAGGGGCTTAATGGGGCTTCGTTCGTTCCTGAAGTTGTTCTTACCTCTCTTAACCCCCCCACCAACCCCCTACCCTCATCCCCGCCTGCCCTAGTCCATCGCCCAATTCGGGTGACCATTCACTCTCAAGGTAGGAACTACTTTAGGATCGAACCAAACACCATGGGTCCCCAAATGCATCATATATACAATACCCAAACCTAGTTTCAAAAAAACTTTGGTGTTTATGCTATTAGTTTTGCATTATATATGCTTGTACATCTCTTTATCTTATATATTGGTATTTGTATCCTTGAGGATGGTAGATAATAAGGATTCAATTAGTTCTCATGATTCTATACCTTTCTTCTTGCCATCCTTGCATCCGAACCCGCACCATCCGCATTAATGATCCCGCGGAGTGTTCCGCGGGATAGTCTCCACAGGGTAGCCTAACTCCTCGCACCCTTTCCTCAGGACCGTGTTGTGGAACCCTTCGTCTTCAACCTCCTCGCTCTGGACTCCCATTATTGAGGAGACTGTCTCCATTGCATGTTTATAAGCCTCGCTTTCGAATACTTCCAGCTTGTGGCCTTCTTTCCATTCTTTGAGAACGTGGGGTGGCGTCTCGATGGAGGCGGACCAGTTTATGGTCGATCCGCCGCCAACGGTTGCTCCGGCGAGGACCAACACGTCCATGTTGGTGGTCGCCAGAAGGCCGTTCCCCAAGTACATTTGGTCCAGAGTGGGTCCCTCTAAGAGCGAGAGCCCACTCCTCGCGAAGTACTTGCCTTTCTCCAAGACGAGCACTTTGTGGCCTGCATTGGCCAGAACTCCGGCGACAACACCGCCACCGGAGCCCGACCCGACCACCACCGCGTCGCATTCGATGACGAACGTCGGGTCTTGCGGTTTCTTCTTCTTCGGGTTGAGTGAAATAGGGAATTCCATTTTTAGCAGCCTGTGGAGGACTTGCTCCGTGGGTTCTTGGGTCGGGTCGATAATTCCTCGGTTGAGCGGCCCGAGGACGATGGGGTCTTCGTCTCTCTTGTGTCTTTGTTCTTCTTCTTGTTCTGGTGGCATATGGTTGTCATCCTCACTGGTTCTCATTGATGATCTCTTGCTCTTGCATGTTGGGTGTGGAGGGCCTGTGTAGTCTATTGCCTTCCATGATAAGTTTCCATTCTTATCATTCACCTGATGAACAAAACAAGATTATGTTACCTCACATAAAAAATGACACTAAGGTTAAGAATGACAATAAGCTTGACAGTGGTAATAGTACTTCAGATACAACAATTTCTTTACATAAAATGGATGAGCTCCCTTCCTTAGACCCGGTCGGACGGTCACGGGGAGGAGGTAAATTAGACTTTGATCGCAAATTGGTGGCAAAAAAATAGAGCTTACACCTGATGCTTGTAGAGCCCCTATGTTTAGCATAGTTGTCTCCCAGCGTAGTTACCAAGAATCAGACTCGGTCTTACCTCTTTGGCACTCATTGTCTTGCCAATTGCGCAACACCCATCAGCCAACAATTTCTTTACACATAACCAGTAATGATTGTATATGTGTGTTGGTGCAAAACTTCATGCCATTTGAAGGTTTGTATGAATTTCTCCACACAAACTTTTTTTAAATGTTTATTCGAGTAGTAAGAAAATGTTTATTGACTTATATTCCCTCCCATTTGAATCTTCTCAATTTGATTTTTAGGGTCATCTTTTTTAAGCTTTAACCGCAAATTACGGAAAAAACATACATTGAACTGTGATATAATTTTAATATCAATGAGTTAATTTTGAAATACTACATTTTTATACAGAGGAACATATATCCGTCTATAAATAAAGATATTGATAAATAAAATTTTGAAGGTTTGCCTTCCATTTCGATGTATTAGACTTTCTTTGATTATATATTAAACATAAATGAAGATCAAAACAAAAAATATTGCATTAAAACCGTGAAAAGCTAAATGGGCAGATTCAAAAGAGAGAGAGAGAGAGTATTAATGTTGACTATGAACTTTAGGGCGAAGCAGGAATTTGGCATGAATAATACCTGAGTGAAGAAGGTGAGAAGAACCAAGATTTTCATGGACATGAAAAAAATCCTGAGGAGCTTTATGGAGCTGCAAGACCATGACCTCACTATCTCTTCTCTCTTCTGGGGTGAAATATGTGGGAAGCTCTGCAAAAATGGAAAGTCCTTTGACAAACTCGCCCTCCCGCACAACACTAAGGTTCCTATCCTCGTCGACAATAGCCATAGCGCTAGACAACATAGCCAAAGCTTAGGATGTTCTGTTCTTTTGCTTATCATCCATGCTACCTGTCATGTTTTCATTCGTTAATTTGACCTTTTCGAGTTAAACTGATAAATTTTAATCATCAATTACTCTCAATTCGTCTTGCATGTTAATTTCAACAGAATAAATCTTTGAAAGTTCCGAACAAATTAAATATATTAAAGTCATTTTTATAGTAATATGCATTATAATTTTTAATTAATTAAAGCTCAAGTTTATTCAATTTGACTTGAAAAAGTTAAACTGAACGAATAATCTGGGATGGTGATAGTAATTACTCCGTAGTTTATTTTGTGAAAATTTTGAGTGTCCTAATTACTCCCTCTGTCCGGAAATGTTCTTCCCATTTGACTTTTTACGGTTTCAAGATTGCACTTTGACCACTAAAATCTTTATTTATACATGAATATATTTTATAAAAAATTGATATTTGAAAACTATATTTCAAAATTAATATATTCATATTAAAATTATATCCTAATACAATGTATTTTTTCCACATATCATAATCAAAGTTTACAAACTTTGACAAAAAAGTCAAATGGGAAGGATATTATCGGACGCTGAGAGTACTAATTAGGTGTGTGGGGTTGGAATTTGAATTAATACAATTCGCTCAATCACTCGTAGTCAATTAGTCATAATTTGGAGTAGAGCAATGCTATGTTCACAAACATGATACTCACAAACTTCACAAACTTACTATTTATGGTTTAAATTTTCATTTTAAAATTAGTATAGACTATTTAATTTTATTTATTAAAGTTCACAAATAATAAGTTTGTGAAGTTTGTGACAATTTTGTTTGTGAATCAAGTATTTTCCTTTGGAGTAACGTAACATTGACTACGATAAGCACGTATATCAATCAAATGTGGCCTTTAATTAATACTCCTTTGTCTTCAATGTTATTATTATTATTATTATTATTATACGGAGGAGATCCGATTTTGTGTTCGATATTCTCGAATCCTATGTTTGATTTTTTGTTTATTTACAAAATTATATACTCCTTTGTTTCCGTATCTAAAAGATTGTTATAGTTTAATTTTTTAGTCAAACAGTTACACGTTTTGACCACAAATTATGAAAAAAGTATATTTAGTTTTGAAATATTTAATTTTTATAATATTTAATTATTTTAAATTATATTTAATTCATGGTCAAAGAGTCAAACTAACAATCTTTTAGGGACAAAAGAAGTATTTAATAATG